GATGATGATGATGATGATGATGATGATGATGATGATGATCCTCTCATCTCCACACTCACCACCTCTTTTTATTCACCATATCAATAAATGCATAAAAAGACCAAAATTGATGTTTTGAAACTYCCCGTGTGTTTATTATTCGGTYACATGGCTGCAGTAAAAGTAAAAACAGTTTACTGTCTGAGTTTGCCTCTGGTTGACTTATATACTCTGTTTAAATAGAAGTTTACACTCTGTCTCAGAGAAACTCCTGTGAGTACAGCTACATCAGTGTTTCATTATTCACCATCTTATGGTTAAAAACCACTTTTTTTGGGGTCTGATTCTCATTTATTTACAAAGCGAGGGATGCATTTTTTTTYATTGCTGGCTGCTTTGCCAGCTAGTTTAATGCAGACTACTGTATTTTAATTCATCCTCCAAAGATCTTGTCTTAATAAACCATGAACTATTTCCCCTGTTCTTTTTCTTTGGTTGTTAGTTACTCTCTTGGGTATTTTTGTCAGTTTTTTTGTTCAGCGTAACAGTGTTCAGTCAAAGTATAATTRATTTATCTTTTACATTGCTGATACCATCAGAGTGGAAAATACTGTAAATCCTTAAGAGCTTGACTGCTTTCATGCATTTTAGTTTCCAAGTAAAAGCAAAATTGTTTCATTCAAAGAGTAAAAATACAAAACTCAGCTGTTTCAATATCATTCAAGCTAAAGTTAAGATTTAAAATGGTGAGTTTCCTGTCTCTATGTGAGATTAACACAATCACAGACTAAAGGAACCACTTCAGTAGTCTTTTTTTATACGCCTCTACATGACTGAGCAGCCTTTTTGATATTTATAACATTTCTACACATCCAAACTCTCATCGACCTTTATTAGATCTGAGCTCAGAATTTCTATTCAAAGCTGGAAAGAGAAGTCCAGAGGTTACGGTGAAGATAACTTATGAGATCATAAGAATCCCAGTCCTCATTGGATCTGTCAACTTCAGTTAAAAACATGAGCAAATCACCATCTCTGCTCAGAGTTTAGGGAACTATATGCTCATACAGTAAATGTGTGGGCAGCAGGTCTGTTTAGTTTTGTTTTGGGTGTGGATGGGAAAGTAGACAGAGACACCTGAAGTCAAATGTGGATTTAGAGACACATCTACTGATGGCTTTCTTTTCTGGGTCACAGGGGTCACTGATGCTCATATCCAGGAGTCACAGACAATTTAGAGTTTCCTATTAGCCTAACATTTTTGGTCTGTGGCAGGAAATTGGAGGTCTCGAAGAAAATCCACGCGTACACGGAGAAAACATACAAACTCCACTCAGAAAGATCCCCCTGCTGGGATTCCACCCGGCAAACTTCTTGCTGAGAGGCTCTACCAACTGTGCCGCCAATTTAAGAGACCTTAAATGACAAAAATTCAATTTCAGTCAGTTCTCATTTGTAACAGAATGAGACCTGACTGTGTTTTTAAAAATCTAAATCATGTTCAGATTTGAATTAATCAAATGAAATTAGGACCCTGTCATTTTCTATAATTTTTTTATGTTTTTATCCTTGGGTTGGTTTACTGATGGCTCCTATACATTTGTTGTCCCCCAGTGCCGAGGCTCTCTGKCTGTCCATCTGTGGCGGGGGACATCAGCGACGGTTGGTCGTTGGTTGATGTTTGTCCTTCACAGGTCTGAATGTTTGTTTAGAAATGAGTAAACATAGAAATAAGAATTTAATAAGCTGAGGGAAAAGATTCTTATGACATCAGATTAGATTTCTGTATTGAATAAAACAAAAACAATCTTCCACATAAAACACTGCAGACACAAAATTAATTTGTGATGACTTGTTTTTTCATGGTCTTTTTAATTACATTTCAATTACTACTCCGTTTCTGTCGGCCTGTCTCATAACGGGTGCTGTCAGGGAGAAAAATACCACAGGTGTGTTTGAGGAACATAATGAGCCACTGGCAGCAGTTTACTATTTATTTCAATTGTATATTCAATTTAAACATCAGTAATTATTATAGCTGTAAGTAGTTAATATATTGTTTGTAATATATTATATTACGTAAGCTTTTTATTTATATTTACAATACATAAATATACATACATACATATATATACAGTGTATATA